AGTGCTCTATTCTTACTTTCTCCCCATACCATTGGATGCTTTAGTTCTAAGAACTATTTCTAACTCCTCTTTGAAAATATTCAAAGCTTTGATCGCAACTGCATTTAATTTTATTCAATCATGGGATGAGGGCATCAGTGGTTAAGCAAGGCATTTATTGCCCATCCCAGAGGGCAGTTAATTGTCAACCACATTGCTGTGGGTCACAAAGTAATACAGCATGAAAACAGATACTTTGGCTCAACTTGTCCATGCATACCCAGTTTCCTAAACTGAACTAGTCCCATTTTCCTGCATTTGGCCCATATCCCTCTATACCTTCCCTATCCAAGTACATGTCCCGATGTCTTTTAAATGCTGTAATTGTACATGCCATTACTCACTTCTCTGACAGCATGTTCCACGTATACACCACCCTCTGTGTGAAAAAACATGCCCCTCAGATCCCTTTTAAATGTCTCCTCTCACCTTAAACCTATACTCTCTAGTTTTGGACTCCTCTAGCCTGGGGAGAAGACCTTGGCTGTTCACTTATCTATGCTCCTCATGATTTTATAAGTTCAGCCTCCTACGCTCCAGTGAAAACTAGTCCCAGCCTACCTTCTGAAGAAGGATCCCAACCCGAAACGTCAACTTTCCTGCTCCTCTGATGCTGCCTGGCCTGCTGTGTTCCTCCAGCCTATCTAGCCTTTCCTCAAAACTCCAGTCTCAGTAACATCCTTGTAAATCTTTTTTTGAACACTTTCCAGTTTAATAACATCCTTTCTATAGCAGGGGGACCAGAGTTGTACACAGTACTCCAAATGTGGCCTCACCAATGTCTTGTACAGCTGGAACATGACATGCCAACTCCTGCACTCAATGCTCTGACTAATGAAGGGAAGCATGCCAAATGGCTTCTTCACTACCCTGCCTACCTGTGATGCCACATTCAAGGAACTATGGACATGCACCCCAAGATCTCTCTGTCTGACACACTCCCCAGGGTCCTACCATTAACTGTCTAAGTCCTGTCCTGGCTTGTCTTACCAAAATGCAACACCTCGCATGAATCAAAATTAACCTCCATCTGCCATTCCTTGGCCCACTAGTTCAGTGGATCAAGATCGCATTGTACTCTTAAATAACATGTTTGATGCTTGTCATCAACATAATTGATACAAGGAGGCTATGACAGGGGAGAACCTAGAAATGGTCATTATCACTAAAGAGGCAGTGTTGGTAAGCTAATGGGGCTAAAAGTAGACAAGTCTCCTGGCCCCTGATGGAATGCATTCCAGGGTGCTAAAAAAGATGACAGGGGAAATAGCAAGTGCGCTACCAAAATTCGCTGGACTTTGGGGTGGTTCCAGCAAATTGAAAACATCAAATGTGAAACCACTGTTTGATAAAGGAGGCAGACAAAAGGCAGGTAACCACAGGCCTGTTAGCTTAACTTCTGTGGTGGGGAAAATGCTTGAATCTATAATCAAGGAAAAAAAGTGAGACATCTGAATAGAAATTGTCTCATCAGGCAAATGCAGCATGGGTTCATGAAAGGCAGGTCATGTTTATGTAATTTACTAGAATTGTTTGTGAACATTACGAGTATGGTGGACAGCAGGGGACCGGTGGATGTGGTGTATCTGGATTTCTAAAGGCAGTTGACAAAGTGTTGCACAAAAGGCTGCTGTATAAGATAAAGGTGCACGCGTTACGGGTAATGTATTAGAATGGATAGAAGCTTGGTTAACTAACAGAAAGCAAAGAGTGGGGATAAATGGGTGCTTTTCTGTTGTCGATCAGTGTCTGGTGGTGTGCCTTAGGGATCAGTGTTGGAACCCCAACTGTTCATGAAGGGTAGGTCATGTTTAACTAATTTGGTGGAATTCTTTGAGGACATTACTTGCATGGTGGACAATGGGGATATGGATGTGGTGTATCTGGACTTCCAGAAGGCATTTGACAAGGTGCCACACCAAAGGCTGCTACATAAGATAAAGTTGCACGGTATTACAGGTCATGTATTGGCATGGATAGAGGATTGGTTGACCAGTAGAAAGCAAACAGTAGGGGTAAATGGGTGTTTTTCTGGTTGGCGGTCAGTGGCTAGTGGTATGCCTCAGGGATCAGTGTTGGGACCACAATTGTTTACAATTTACATAGATGATTTGGAGTTGGGGACGAAGTGTGGTGTGTCAAAATTTGCAGATGACACTAAGGTGAGTGGTAGAGCAAAGTGTGCAGAAGACACAAAGTCTGCAGAGGGATATAGACAGTCTAAGTGAGTGGGCAAAGGTCTGGCAGATGGAGTACAATGTTGATAAGTGTGAGGTCATCCATTTTGGTAGGAATAACAGCAAAATGGACTATGTTTTAAATGGTAAAAAATTGCAGCATGCTGCTGTGCAGAGGAACTTGGGTGTCCTTGTGCATGAATCGCTAAAAGTAGGATTGCAGGTGCAGCAGGTGATTAAAAAGGCAAATGGAATTTTGTCTGCCATTGCTCAAGGGATGGAGTTTAAAAACAGGGAGGCTATGCTGCAGCTGTATAGGGTCCTGGTGAGGCCACACCTGGAGTACTGTGTGCAGTTTTGGTCTCCTTACTTGAGAAGAGATATACTAGCACTGGAGGGGGTGCAGAGGAAATTCACTCGGTTGATTCCAGAGTTGAGAGGGTTGGATTATGAGGAGAGACTGAGTAGGCTGGGATTATACTCATTGGAATTCAGAAGAATGAGGGGAGATCTTATAGAAACATATAAGATTACGAAGGGAATAGATAAAGTGGAGGCAGGGAGGTTGTTTCCGCTAGCAGGTGAAACTAGGACTAGAGGGCATCGCCTCAAAATAAAGGGAAGCAGATGTAGGACTGAGGTCAGGAGGAACTTCTTCACCCAAGGGGTTGTGAATCTGTAGAATTCCCTGCCCAGTGAAGTGGTTGAAGCTACCTCACTGAATGTTTTTAAGGCAAGGCTAGATAATTCCTTTACTGTTCAAAAATTTAAGGGTTATGGTGAGTGGGCGGGTAAGTGGAGCTGAGTCTCAAAAAGATCAGCCATGATCTTATTAAATGGCGGGGCAGGCTCGAGGGGCCAGATGGCCGACTCCTGCTCCTAGTTCTTATGTTCTTATGTTCACAGTTTACATCGATCATTAGGACCAAGTATAGTGTGTCACAGTTCGCAGATGACACCAGGATGAGTGGTACAGCAAAGTGCGCAGAGGATACTGAAAGTTTGCAGAAGAATATAGACAGGTTAAATGAGTGGGCAAGGGTCTGGCAGATGGAGTATAATACTGGTAAATGTGAGGTCATTCATTTTGGTAAGAATAATGGCAAAATGCACTATTATTCAAATGGTGAAAAATTGCAGCATGTGGCTGTGCAATGGAACTTAGGTGTCCTTGTGTATGAATCACAAAAAATTGGTTTGTAGTTGCAGCAGGTAAATTAAGAAGGTAAATGGAATATTGTCCTTTGTTGCTGGAAGGATGGAGTTTAAAAATAGGAGGTTATGCTGCCGCTGTCCAAGGTGCTGGTGAGGCCACACCTGGAGTATTGTGTGCAGTTTTGGTTTCCTTACTTGAGAAAGCATGTACTGGTACTGGAGGCGGTGTAGAGGAGGTTCACTAGGTTGATTTCAGAATTGAGAGGGTTGGCTTATGAAGAGAGATTGAGTAAATTGGTACTATACTCATTGGAATTTAGAAGAATGAGGAGGGATCTTATACAAGCTTATAAAATTATGAAGGGAATAGATAAGATAGAAGCAGGCAGATTGTTTCCACTGGTGGGTGAAACTAGAACTAGGGGGAGGCATAGTCTCAAAATATGGGGGGAGTAAATTTGGGACTGAGTTGTGGAGGAACTTCTTCATCCAAAGGGTTGTTAATCTGTGGAATTCCTTACCTAGTTAAGCAGTTGAGGCTACCTCGTTGAATGTTTTTAAGGCAAAGGTAGATAGATTTTTGACCAGTAAGGGAATTAAGGGTTATGGTGAGCGGGCGGCTATGTGGAGCTGACTCCACAAAAAGATCAGCCATGATCTAATTGAATAGTGGAGCAATGGGCCAGATGGCCTTCTCCTGCCACTATTTCTTATGTTGTTGTGTTCTTATGTTATGTTCTTAAGTACTAACCTTCTTCACTGTCCACTATACCATCAATTTTAGACTCCTCCTCTGGATTCACATGAGCCAGACCAGGAAAATTTGGCAGTTTCTGTCTCGAAAGGACAATAGTGAACCAGATGGGTTTTTCCAATAATCAACAATGGCTTCATGGTCATTAGACACTTAATACCAGATTTTTTTTAAAATTGAATTCCACCATGTGCCGTGATGGAATTCAAACCTGGCTTCCCCAAAACATTACTTAGGTCACTTGATTAATAGTTCAGCAATAATACCAATAGGCTAACAATTCCCCTTTCTGTGGCAGAGAACACCACAGGCTCATACTTTCTTGGTGAAAACATTTCTATTCATCTCAATACTGTATGGCCTATCCCATATCCTTAGACTGTGAACATGGTCTGAGCTGCCCAGTCATCCTTCCTGCATTTTCCCTCTCTATTCCTGTTAAAATTTTGTAAGTTTCCACGAGATTCATCCTTATTCTTCTGAACCCATGAGTATATTCCTAACTAATCCAGTCTTTTCACAGAACTCAATAATCTGAAAATATTAGATATAAAATGCAGTTAAATCAGCATTTTTAACTCATGGTTCATAGATTAGAATTCACACAGCTGGAAAGAACAATACAAAATGGTGGAACGGCGATAACAGAAGGAAGAGTTCAAATAAATAAAATACTCAAAATGGGGCAACTGTATGATTTACACTATAATCAATTTCGATCACTGGAAAAATGGTACAGATCACAGATTAAAAGATACTTACATCAACATCAGTTTATAATTTCAGATTTCAGCATATTTAAACTCATTCAATTTTCAACTATACTTTAAACAATTTGTTCCCCCAACCTCCAAATGTGATTGAAAGGTACTTACCAAAAGGCAATTCAAAACGTGTGTCTAATAGGATTTTGTGTGGGGTTGGACTTTTGGTTCCACATATTTCATCTTCCTTCATCAAAACCTCTGCATCCAGTGTTGACCAATCCCCTGGGCCTTCCTATTAAAATATGAATCACATGAAATTAAAAGACGACTTAAATAAATTATAGCCTGTAAGCTATCATGTACCAAATTGGATTCTGATTCAGGCGTTAAGCATAGAATTCTCAACTTTAGGGCTGGCACAAAACAAAGAGTTTTTATGCTGACTGCTTTACACCTTGCATGATTTTCCTATCAATTAACTCAATGAGATATCAGGTGATCCATTTGATGTGCAACAAACTCACCATAGCCGAAATGGAATGCTACATCCCATCTAAAATTATTTATTACATCTTCAGAGGCAAATAAAATTACTATAACAATTTCTTAAGTTTTATTATATAACTTCTAACCTATATAAAACTACTGAAGGATGTGCAATAAAAACCAAAAGAACTGTGGATGCTGTAAATCAGGAACAAAAACAAAGTTGCTGGAAAAGCTCAGCAGGTCTGGCAGCATCTGTGGAGGAGAAAACAGAGTTAATGTTTCGGGTCCGGTGACCCTTCCTCAGAACCAGACCCGAAATGTTAACTCTGTTTTCTCCTCCACAGATGCTGCCAGACCTGCTGAGCTTTTCCAGCAACTTTGTTTTTGTTGTTGAAGGATGTGCAACATCTATTGATAATTATTGACAATGACACTTTTGGACAACGATATAGCTAGACACTTTGACTTCTAATATTGGTATTGATGACATTCAAGTCAAGGTAAACACAAGCAACAATCTGGGTCTTTTCTTGTGAAATAACGGGTCTCAGAAGGCTGTTTCCCTCTAGTATCGACATAAGAATATTTCAATATTCCAGTGCATATAGCCTGTTGGTTACAACTGAATTTTGTGTTATGAACAGCATGCGTTAAGAGATCACGAGCGACTCAATTTTTTTTTTAGGTATTCTGAAAGGGTGGAGACATTCTTCCTGTCAGTTGTCAGTCTAAACTATATTCAAACACAAGTTCCAGAGCTGAAAGGGCAGTCCTAATCCCATGTTCCGAATACTCTCCTTCCTCCTTTTAGCTTTTCTTCAGAAATTTTCTATTTATTAATCATTAAAGGCAATCAAGTGAACTCTTAGTTAAAAGATTCAAGACACACTTCGGACAGACGAACATTGCAAATCAGAAAATAATTATCTCTTCAAAAATTATGTAACTATCACCATTGATTTTAAACGGCAATTAATACCACTCAAGTACGAAATTTATTTATTACTTTAGAAATAGAAAACACTGTTTATTGGACTACACAAAAGACATCAAAAATGTTACAATGGAAGAAAATAACCAAAATTCATCAATGCAGTATTGATCTAAAAGCAGACTTTTGGGCTTTGACATGCATTAATTGCTTTTTCTGACAGGATGGCAATGATTTAACCTGCGGGGAAGAATGTCAAAAAACAACTTTATAGTTTTGCAATAGTTGATAGCATGTAACAACAATGCCCATTCAATGTCATGATCACTAGATGCCCCAAAATACCTTGCAGCCAATCAACTTAAAAGTGTTGCCATTCCCTAAACACACCTCAATTTGATATTGGATTTTTTAAAAGCTCTATGTTCTGAGGTCAAAGAAGAAAATGTCAAAGAAGTAAAGCACATGATAATCATCCTTAACTAACTTGCGAAAAATAAAAATTTTCAAACTCTTTCCAACTGTTAGTTGCAAGACGGAAAGATTACAGTAATAGTAATTCCAGAAATATCAAGGAACTGCAAGTTAAGAAGTTTGGTATTTTTTTCACTTGCTTAAGGCAGAGTGGAAATGGATGACTGCTAGACAGAAGACAAGCAAGCAGGTGGCTAGGGTGTCCCTTGAGTGCATCTTTTACAAACCTTTTGGTCTTAGCAAGTGATTGGAGTACTGGTTTCTCTGTACAGTCCAGCCAGTTCCAAGGCCATGGCACTGTGGGTGGTCCATACGCTCAATAGGGGAAGGAAGAAATGTGGAAGAGCATTCGTGTAAGACGCTTGTTGGTGATGGGAGTAGACAGGTGTTTATGCAGTCAAAAATGTGACTCCCAAATGGTATGTCGCCTTCCAGGTGCCAGGGTCAAGGATGTCATAAAACAGCCACAAGGCATTCAGAAGGAGGGTGAACAACAGGAAACTGAAAAACAGACCTTCAAAAGTTGCATTTGTGGATTATTCCCAGTGCCAAATAGGAAAAGAACGATAAAACAGATGAAAGTATGTCTGGAGAATGGATCAGGAGGAAAGGCTTTAAGGTTGTGAGGCATTGCATCCTGTACAAGTTGAATGGGTTCCATAGAATACAGTGTAGAAGAGTTCCCTTTGGCCCATCAACTCAGCACCACAAAAAGAAAACACCCTAATTCTACACTAGACCCACTGTCCACTGTTTCAGCCATAGCCTTGAATGTCAAGACATTTTAAGTACTCATCCAAATACTTTTTAAAGGTTGTGAGGTTGCCTGCCTCAAACTCGTCTTCTACGCAGGGCGTTCCAGATTCCCACCTGCTTCTGGGTGGAAAAAAAAACTCGTCCTCAAATCCCCTCTAAACTTCCAGCCTTTCACCTTAAAATTATGCCCCCTTGTTATTCATCCATCAACAAAGGGGAATAGCCGCTTCCTATCCACTCTGTTCATGCCCCTCAATCTTATACATCTAAGTCAGGTCCTCTTGCAGCCTTCTCTGATTTAAAGAAAACGACCTGAGGTTATCCAGCCTCTCCTCATAGTTAAAGTGTGAGAATAGATAAGTCCCCTGGGCTGGATGGGATTTATCCTAGGATTCTCTGGGAAGCTAGGGAGGAGATTGCAGAGCCTTTGGCTTTGAGCTTTATGTCGTCATTGTCTACAGGAATAGTGCCAGAAGACTGGAGAATAGCAAATGTTGTCCCCTTGTTCAAGAAGGGGAGTAGAGACAACCCTGGTAATTATCGACCAGTGAGTCTTACTTCGGTTGTGGGTAAAGTGTTGGAAAGGATTAGAAGAGATAGGATTTATAATCATCTAGAAAGGAATAATTTGATTAGGGATAGTCAACACGGTTTTGTGAAGGGTAAGTCGTGCCTCACAAACCTTATTGAGTTCTTTGAGAAGGTGACCAATCAGGTGGATGAGGGTAAAGCGGTTGATGTGGTGTATATGGATTTCAGTAAAGCGTTTGATAAGGTTCCCCACGGTAGGCTATTGCAGAAAATACGGAGGCATGGGATTGAGGGTGATTTAGCGGTTTGGATCAGAAATTGGCTAGCTGTAAGAAGACAGAGGGTGGTGGTTGATGGGAAATGTTCATCCTGGAGTTCAGTTACTAGTGGTGTACCTCAAGGATCTGTTTTGGGGCCACTGCTGTTTGTCGTTTTTATAAATGACCTGGATGAGGGCGTAGAAGGATCGGTTAGCAAATTTGCGGATGACACTAAAGTTGGTGGAGTTGTGGATAGTGCGGAAGGACGTTGCAGGTTACAGAGGGACATAGATAAGCTGCAGAGCTGGGCTGAGAGGTGGCAAATGGAGTTTAATGCGGAAAAGTGTGAGGTGATTCACTTTGGAAGGAGTAACAGGAATACAGAGTACTGGGCTAATGGTAAGATTCTTGGTAGTGTGGATGAGCAGAGAGATCTCAGTGTCCATGTGCATAGTTCACTGAAAGTTGCCACCCAGGTTGGTAGGGTTGTTAAGAAGGCGTACGGTATGTTAGGTTTCATTGGTAGAGGGATTGAGTTTTGGAGCCATGAGGTCATGTTGCAGCTGTACAAAACTCTGGTACGGCTGCACTTGGAGTATTGCGTACAGTTCTGGTCGCCGCATTATAGGAAGGACGTGGAAGCATTGGAAAGGGTGCAGAGGAGATTTACCAGGATGTTGCCTGGTATGGAGGGAAGGTCTTATGAGGAAAGGCTGAGGGACTTGAGGCTGTTTTCGTTAGAGAGAAGAAGGTTAAGAGGTGACTTAATAGAGACATACAAGATGATCAGAGGATTAGATAGGGTGGACAGTGAGAGCCTTTTTCCTCGGATGGTGATGGCTAGCACGAGGGGACATAGCTTTAAATTGAGGGGTGATAGATATAGGAGAGATGTCAGAGGTAGGTTCTTTACTCAGAGAGTAGTAAGGGCGTGGAATGCCCTGCCTGCAACAGTAGTAGACTTGCCAACTTTAAGAGCATTTAAATGGTCATTGGATAAACATATGGATGATAATGGAATAGTGTAGGTTAGATGGGCTTCAGATTGGTTTCACAGGTCGGCGCAACATCGAGGGCCGAAGGGCCTGTACTGCGCTGTAATGTTCTATGTTCTATGTTCTATGCTCTAAACTGCTCCATTCCAGGCAACAGCCTGGCGAATCTCCTTCCAATGCAATCACATCTTGTCTATAGCGCAGCGGCCAGAGCTTACACAGTACAAAATCAGAAACTGCTGGAAAAAAAAATCAGCAGGTCTGACAGCAGCTGCGGAAAGAAGTCAGAGTTAATGTTTCAGGTCAAGTGAACCATCTTAAGAACTGATTATACCAAGGAAAAGAGTGGTGCTGTTGATGCCTGGCTTCCTGACCTTTATCTTGTGGAGGCTGAGTGCCAGCCCTCGGATACCTCCTCCTATCTCCTCCTGATCATGACCCCACTGTGTCCACAACGGTCACCAGCCTCATTTTATCTGGTGATCTCCCTCCCACCATTTGTAGTCTTCTAACCCCACACAGCCCACTTCAACCTCCTTTGCAGCACACCTAAGTTTGTTTACAAAAATGACACTCAGCTTCCGGTTGCCTGCCATTTCAATGGACCACCATGTTCCTTGGCCAATATCTTTGTCTTGGGCTTTGCTGCAGTGCTCCAGCAAAGCTCACTGCAAGCTAGAAGAACAACACTTTATTTTAAGCTTGGGAACCCTGCAACCTTCACCATAGAATAACAGAATCCACACAGTGTGGAAACAGGCCATTCAGCCTAACAAGTCCACACTGACCCTCCGAAGAGCATCCCAGCCAGACTCATTCCCGCTCCCCCCGCCCCGTCCACCCTATCCCT